AATTATTAAAAAAGTCATTAAATATATCAAAAATGAGTATTTTAGTCAATTAGCAATGCATTATAAGATGAATTATTATATTTTAAATTCAAAAAGCTAAACACGTTTGCTTGTAATAAATGACATTGCGAACTGTTTCAAAAATTGTTCTTCCTTAAGTATATTCAGAACATAATATTTAGAAGGTCATAAAGGAGTATGAAGTAAGATGCATTTTGAACCATAAAAGGATTCTTCAGGAAGCATAATGAATTAAGAACCCTTTCTTAAAATTTTCTCAATTTTTATTATTTTTTATTTTTATTTTTTTTGGAAGCTGCAAGATTCTGACTAAACTCAACTCAATTCAGGAAAAAGTCTTCTGCTTTTTATTTAGAAATACGCATGCGTCGTGAACCGGTTAATGGACAGCGAGGTTTTGTATGTACTACGGTTTGTCCACGTGTATGAAATGAAAATAGTGTGCTCTAGTTTTCTCTTGCTTGATGAAAGAACTGGTTGTATGAAAGATCGTCCTTTTGAAAGAAATACTGATTTGAAATCATATTTTTAATATTCTTGACAAATTTGGAGTTTAAATACATTTGTCTTTATCGTGTATCTTGATTGGAGATGTAAACAAAAAAGGCGTTGACTTCTTTTGTATAAACAGTGCTTTGATAAGTCGTAATACTTCGGGAAATACTCGTTGCTTATAAAAAATAAAAATTAAAGATTTTTTCATTCATTATCTAATGTAAAAAGGTTAAACAGATTCATATTAATATATTGATTTCAAGAAAAAAATTTTTTAAAGAATTTTAATATGGATTTTAAATTAATAAAACACTAATTTTTACATTTGGTCTTACTGATTGTAAAAAACATCATGGAAGATATTAAGGTAGAACAACCTCCATGCAAGAGAAAAAAAGTTGAAAATGGTGCTACAAATGTGGTATGATTTGATTTTTTAATTTTAACAGTTTTACTATAATTAGAATGTGTTATCATATTTGTTTCATTTATTTAAATGCAGATAAATGGAAGTACAAAAGCAAGGATTCGTGTTGGATCTAGAAAAAGCCAAGTAAGTTTTGAGAAAGTGATGTTTAGAGCAATGAACAATATTTTAAGAGTAACAATTTATCATATTTGTGTTTATTCCATGTGTTTAAGATATTTTTAGTAATGTAGAGGAATAATAATATAGTATATGAAACTTTATAAATTGTCTTGAATATAACCGATTATAAATTTGAAATGAGTAATTAGGCATCTTGATTTTTTATTGATCTGCCTTCCTTTTTTTTTTTTAATTATTAAGACCATTCATCAAGATAATCATAATTTCTTGCTTTAAGTAGTTTATGTTTTTTAACAAACTTATTAAGATTTTTCATAATCGAAATATTTTGTTCTAGAATAAGTTAAAAAACATGTATTAAACTACAACTTGCAAAATTCTGAATGCTGTCTTTTTACTTACAATTTCTCTTTAGTTTTCTTGGCAGGTGCATTAACAATTTTCTTAATGCAGTTTGCTGATATATTCCTATGAGTAAAAGTTAAGATGTTTAAAATACCAGTTTTCTATTTTACATTAAATTGTAGCCTAAATGAATGGAATTTCATTTGTATGATGCTTAGTTTGTGTAAAAGTAATTATAACATCATTGTATTATTATCTTTGCTTACCAGAATCATGAAACAGTGGTAGTTAGGTTCAGCTTCTGATCTCAGTGATCAAATGTGGGCTGTCAACATGAGGTTTTCTTTGCATCAGTGCTGGATTAGGCTTTCTACTGCTTGGTGCAATCACTTCGATTTCTAGAATCTGCTGCCCAGTAATTTCTCACATTTTACAAATTTTGCTACCCTTAAATTCTGCCACCCGGTGCAGCTGCACCAGTTGCACATGCTGTGGCGCTGGCTGTGCCTTGCATATAACAAAATTATGAGCTTAAAAAAATAGCCAAAATTATGAGCTTTGCATGGAATGCAAGGTTAGGTTTCTATATGAACTGTAGAATTATCTGAGGGGAGGTTAGAAGAAATGAACAGTAAGCTGTTAGGCTGATGAAGGGGATACATTTACAAATAATAGTTTAACTTAGTTGAATATAAGCGTTTTATTACTTTTGCAGTTAAATACAAAGCAATTTTTCGTAAAAGGTCCAGTGGAATTCTTATTTGCTGTTGTGCTATTTCATTGAATTTTTTCCCTCTCAAACATGTTGGCTCAATAAGAAAATTATCACTGCATTTTACGAATTTGTAAATGAATTATTATTTTTTTAATTTGTGTATTTAAATAATAGCTTTTAGAATGTTCACACATGTCCTAATTTATATAATATTTTATTTTGCTTTTTCGTTCAGAAAGACCTTTTTTTTATTTTTATTGATTGTTCTTGGCAAAAGAAGCATAACAAGCATATGTATATGCTTCATATGTTTTTGAATCATATGCTTTTGTAGCAGAATTTTATATTGGGTCTTTGTGTATAAACTTATATTTATATATAGTAATTAATAATCCTCTTGAGGTTCAGAAAATTCAAGCACATTAGCTGCTTAATTGTCTCAGATTACATCATCTGCTTAATTGACCCTGTTCTAAATTATTGCAAATTCTGTATTTGTATTAATATTGTCTATATTTGTGTCAGTCTCTTCCATTTGCAAGATTAATGTAGGGTCTCTCAAGGCAGTGTGCCGGGTCCAGTACTCTTTAATCCTCTGAGTAGCACAAGATTTTAGATCCAACATGAAGACCTGTATTTAAACAGCATTTATTAATTCAACTTGTATAAACAATTATTTTAGTATGTATTTTCATAAACTTACACTCATTAAGATGATATTTACATTATTAAATAAAGTAAGAAAGGAAAATATCTTAAATTATAAGCTAATATATGCCAAGTAACAAAACTTCTGATGACCGGATAAACCCGGTCATAACGCTCAGAGGGTTAATATATACTTGGATGATTTCCTGTAGGACCCTAAAATTCTGTTACTGCTATTTATTGATGATACTTCCATTCTTAAGCAAGCAACTAGCATCAATATCATAAGGTATCAACTTTAAAACTGCCTAAAACAGCAGGGAAAATGATATATATAAAATAGCATATCTCAGTGCATGTGCAAAAGTCAAGGAACATTAAACAAAACAGTAAATGATCTACTTCTCTTTGATCAGCCGATTTCATATGAAAAGAAAGTCGCATACCACGATATCACCCTTGACAGCAAACCAACAGTCTGTGATCATTTTAAGAAACTACATTTTATGCAATATGAGACCTAGGATGGAACAGGAAACTCTCCATCAGGTCACTCTGTACTAGTCAATGCACAGAAAAGCATTATTTCACACTTGTGCAACTTGGGAAATGCATCTTTTCAAATTCAATCTTCCAAAATAAAATACTCAAGGAAATAGTTAATGTTCTTTAATTTAGCAAAAATTCTGTAATCTACCATGATTCTAAAATAGAATACATAAATCAGTATGTTTCTAACAACATGGTTAAAGTTTATGTATCTGTAAAATACCACCACAACTTGCTGGTTTCCACTTAAAACCATTCCATGTTTGTAGTGAAGAAATGTACCTATTCAGTTATCACAATGATGGTTTAATTTTATGCATATAATGGTTGACAGCTTTTGGCACAGATGCTCTGTTCCTGTCTCACAGATTGAAGTCTAAACTCAAACCAAAACCAAATGAAGCAGTGAATCCTTTGCCTCCATTCCTTTTTCTGACTCAAGCTCTATATCCAAGTAATTATTAGTAATATATTTAGTTTCCCTTTTGGGTACTTTTGCATATTTGTTCCTGATAATTTTCACTTCAGTCTCAGAAGAAAAAATAATTTGGTTTGACCTTTTATTGTGTTTATTTTTATTGTGTAACATGATTAAAAGGAGGAGAGATCTAAAGGATCAAAGAAAATGGCAAAACATGCCAACTGTAAGCCCTGTGGTTATACATAAAATGATTGCTTATAGAATGTATTATATAAAATCCTGTGAACTTAAAATTTGTAAGAATTCAAGTTTTTTTTTTTTTTTTTTTTTTTTTTTTTTTTTTTTTTTGCCAGTAAACTGTGTGAGCCTGATTCTAATAAACAAGAGCACCTAAAAACTTTCAGAAACAAATACCTAAATTGTCAATGGATCTAGGAATATGCATAATGAACTTCTTATGAACCATTATTGCCAACATACAAAGGAGGTTAGTTGAATTATATAGAAAATAAAAATATTTAAATTTTTAATATACTAGTTCTACATATAGGTATAAATTATATAAATAGGAAATATGTTTAAAAATCCTACTGCTTCCTTCTGGTTGTTTCCTCATATCTATTCATGGTTTTTGTCTACTGTGAAAGAAACTTATCAATCCTGGTCAAGTAAGTGAAGAGTCATCTTCTCTCAGGATCCCTCTATGAAGACATCTATTGCTATAGGCTAATACTAGTACCTCTTACGTGTTTTACTTTAATTTCTTAATCTGATCACATCTGAGAAGTTCCACATAAAAAACAGACTATTTACCCTAGTATGCTTTTCCATAACCTAATCCAATTTAATCCATTATCCACTTTTAAATTATATCTTAGTATATTTGGTTTTTTAAAACTGATTTGTACCTTACAAAGATAACTTTTACTGCACTGGATCAACTTCACTAATTGAATCATTTAAGAATTTTGACCAAACTTTCATCACATAATTATGCCCATCAATGACTGTTGTTTCTCCCATGTTTAATTCCTTATTCACTGTTAAATTAAGGTGTGTTCATCACCCAACAATAAATAAACTATTATGCTACGAGAAAATTTTTTTTGATTCATTAAACCAATTTGCTGCATGAAGACCTTTCTTCTGTTGGCAACTATTGACACTGGATCTCCTGATGGATATTTTCAAATTCTTTCAGAGGGTAAAATGCATTTCCACTGGGAAAAAATATTTCATGTTATTCCATTGTTGGAAGATTGAAAATAGCAAGCATAATAAACATTTAACAATATTAAGAGGAAATTTTCATTAGCTTAAGAAACATGAATTATGTATACATGCATAGACTGCTAACCATTCCAACACAGAAATTCATCAGTTTCTTTTTCTAGCCAATGCCGCTATAAAAAGAGGGGCATAGCTAGAGGGGGGCAAGGGGGGCATCTGTCCCCAGGCGCAGAATCCAAGGGGCGCCAAATCAATGTTACGACATTTTAGAATTAAATGTTTTCCATCTTGCAACAGTAGGGGGTGCGAAATCCTTCAGTGCCCCTGGGCGCTGAAAACCCAGCTACGACCGTATAAAATAATGCTAACTTTTTTTTAAATCATAGTATCGTAAATAAATTTTAATAATTGATCATTATCTAAATGGTATGAACCATTAGTTAAAAAAATAAATTCTAAATTAAATTAAGCTTTCTACATCATTAGTTTTGTTTAGGTTATTTTTATTTTTTTCAAAAATAAAGCAATGATAATAACAGTGATATTATTCATGGCTTCTTAACCTTTTTGCAGCTTGAGCATTCGCTGCTACACAAATCCAAAATGGCAAGTCACAAAAATTGCGACTCTGTATCCTGTACACTCGACCTATTAAAAAAAAAAAAAAAAACCAGAGAATTGCACAAACTAGGCATTGCGCACTCCCTTGACTTTGTCCATGTACACATTGATCTATATTCACTTAAGAAGTCAAGGACAGCCAACCAAATATAAATCTCAATAAAATAAATCTACATTTTAAATCAAACAATGAAATAACATAAAAAAGGAATTTCATCTTAGCACTACACAAAGGAAATATCCACTTACCTTATTTACAAATTTGCGTGTCTTCTGTCAAACAAAATTCCTTAACAGCATCCAAAAAACTTCCTAAAATCATCTGAACTAGAATCCGTATATTAGCATCGCCACATAAATTCATAAAAATATCCTCCGTAGTGCTGGTATCATCCGACATTTGACCATATGCATTTCCTTCCTACAAGCAGCACACTTTGACTACAAAGTAAACCTTCATTTACAAACCAGTCAATTAATGCTTTTTCCTTTTCATTATAAATCGTACAGAAACTTTAAATTAATCGTACCACATTTAGCCATTTTACCGTGTAAACCACAAGATAACGTACTTCTTACCCAAAATCCGACACACACTTTTCAAATCTTTCCCCACAATTCCAGTTGATGGCAATCACGTAATGAATTACATCATAACAGGATTTCCATAACATTCAACTGCTCAAGTTACCATAAATGAAACAACAACTTGGCGATAAATGAAGCAGCAGCTTGGCGATGAAAGAAACAACTTAGCAATAATCCAAGTGGCACCCTTAAATCTACTCTAAGTTTAATTATTCACAACTTGTTATTTTATTATTATAATTTTGCTTATTTACCATTTATGATGGCCTTCTACAAGGTAACAGTACAATTTTAGAAATTTAATCCTGTTAAGAGAAATAAAATCGTGTATAATTGTACGAGATGCATTTGGTAGTGATAGAGAACATTAGCCCTAAAAAGTTCATCTTTCTTCTAAAGAAAAAGAGTTCAAGTAGCAATGTTTTTTAATCCTTTTTTATAATTTATTTTAAAAAATCAATTTGAATTTAAATTTATACAGTTTACAACTTTATAATGCCATTTCTAACAGTTTAATATCTTTGAATGGTAGTTAATCTGTATTAATGGCAAGTTAATCTTTTCAGCTGGCTTTATTCCAGTCTAACTTTGTTGTGGATTTACTGAAAGAAAATTATGGTAGCATTAAATATGATATAATTACTATGACTACAACCGGAGATAAAATACTGGATGTAGCTTTATCAAAAGTAAGCAAGTCTTTGTTTAAAATGAGATTTTTCTTTTTAGAATAACAGATAAATTTCAGTGAGTAAAATAGTTTTAAATGTTATAACAGTGAATTTATAAATCGCATGTCATGCCTGATTTCCTTTCAGATTGGAGAGAAAAGTTTGTTCACAAAGGAATTAGAAGTTGCATTAGAAAAACTGGAAGTGGATATAATTGTTCATTCTTTAAAAGATCTTCCAACAAGTTTGCCTCCTGGAATGGTTATTGGTGCTATATGCAAGTAAGTATCTAAATTTTTGAAAAAGTTTTGAATGTTTTATATTAATCCAAAAAGTGTTACAATGTAAAAGAAACTTCTAACATTATTGGCAACCTTTAATCATTATTATTTTTTTAACTGAATTGAATCAGAACTAAACATGAAGTAGCTCAATCCACAATGAATTAATTTGTGAAAGAAGTTTTGGTTCTAGATGCTCACTAGAAAATTTCTAGCTGTATTTCTTATTGGGAAAAATGGGCAGTGTCATTTTGAGAATTTCAAATGAATCGATCACTTTGAAAGATATTGCAGAAAAGGCAAATTTGGGCTAAACTGTAACATTTTCAGGAAAATATTTTAATAAAGAAAGATTATCTGATAATAATTTATTGATTGTAAATTATTTCAAAATGTGAGTAATAGCCGAAAAATTATAATGCAAATTCATGAGTCATGTTGGCTCATGAATTTGCATTATAATTTTTCTGCTATTATGTAATTATGTCTGCTATTATGTCTATATTGAATAATAGTTATGAGAATAGCTACCTGAAGAATTGTTAAACATGTCATTACCAAAATTTGAAATATTCAGAAGATTTGTCGACTTTTACTAAAATGGCTGTGCTAATACATAAATACTCAAAATAAGAATAAGTTGTGATATAATCCTAGTGGTAGTTTCTGATTTATCTACAACCCTCACCCAAAAAGTCAGCAACTTATTGGTGACTAATTTTGTGCCAAACTATTACACTAAAAGCAACAACCGTTTTCAAAATGGTGGCACACTAAGAATTCCATAAAAGAGCAATCGATTAATAAAGTTGAAAGAGGAAAGGAATTTTCATAATAAAAGGCATACCTTTTTTGAGAAATTCTTATTATATTATATTTTTTGTTCTCTCCATGTACACAGCAATCTGGGTTTGCTTTAAAAAAATTCAAAAAAATTACATAAAGTTGGCACAGCTTAGTATGTCTTCCCCGCCCTTCCCAATGTTCACAGCAATCTGTTTTTCCCTCGGGGAGGGAGGGGACAGAGAACTGCGCAAATAAATGTTAAGACATTGCTTTAAATATTTCACATTGAATTTCCATGACATTTCGTTGTTTAATTCATACAGTTTTATGGGATTCTCATTTTTACATTCTGTAGTCCCGGACAAAACACCACATTTCTTTAAATATGCAGCATTTTCTTTGCCATCAGCTGGCAAGTTCCTTAGTCCCATTATGACTAATCACAAGGGAAAAGAAATGTACTCAATGCAAAAAAAAAAAAAAAAAAAAAAAAAAAAAAAACACAAATCAGAATTTGGAGGACGCATAGTTGGCTTGCCACATAAATAAGTTTTAGCAACATCATATGTTGCCACATAACTTTTTTCCTGACATAGTGCTTTGCCGCATGAATACTTTTTGCGGAAGAAGGGTGTGGATAACCAGAAAGAACCAAAAAATTATAATAGGACAAAAGTGATGATAAAGACAGTAAAAGTTATGAAGACTGAAAATTTAGAAAATTGTGCTCGATTCTTCTGGTATCTTTGACAGTGAAATAATTTATCCCAGATGGAAAAAATGATAATTATAATAGTATTCTTATGAAAAGGGAAGTGAAATAGAAAGTGTTGATTTTCATGATTCTGATAAAGATTAGGCAGTGATGCAGATAAAAATATACCTGTATGATGCTTAATATTACAGTATTCTGTTTACAGATATTTCAAATTTGAGATATATTCAGAAGACTAATAATGATTTTAATCCAATTCAATGGCAAGTTATACACACAATAATGTCTATTTGCTTACTTAAAAACAAATGAATTGCTCTTCCTGATAAACTACCATACATAATTTTCATATATAAACTGTTGAAAGTATTTCGATGGATGGGAAAAATAAGCTTTTTCTATCTGAAATACTAAACATAAATTATTTTTAATAAATTATTGTAATTACAGTACAAAGTCCGAAATTCGGAATGATCTAAAATCCGGACCTCAAAGCCACAAACATTTTTTTTTATTAATGCTTTATGTATGAGCATTTGATTTTTTCTTCCATAATAAATAAAAATGGAGATTTTCACTTAAAAATTCCAATTTTTAATATCATATAGGCACTAAATAAAATACCTCATTATGGAAAAACAATCATGTAAGCATAAATTTCTGAGGTTAATAATTTGGCTCCGTAGTATCTATCTACTTGGCATACATCTCAAACCGAAACATTCACTTATTTTATATCCCTGACACGGACCTGACAAGTCATTATTTATTATATTTTACTTTCATCACCACATGTTTATTAGTACATGGCAGCTTCAGTAATAACTCAAGCTGTGACGTCTAAACTTTTTTTATGTTAGTAATTGAATAACAAGAGTATGGCAACCTTTTATGCTAACATTAAGCTTGGCGATGATTAGAGGTTTTTAAATGCTGTAAGAAATGTTGACCAGGAAAAAGTTAACAAAAATTTCTTTTCATATGCTAAAAATAGATTTTGTTAATGAAACTCATAGGTCAAAAGATTAAATTTAGTGCTATTTTAATTAAGAATAACTGATATGTTATTCACCATAAACCCAGAAGCGGCGGCAGAATATGTCGGCACTGGACAGCAGAATTTAGGGAAGACAAAATTTTTGGAATTTGGGGAAGCAGCAAGCGGCAAAATTAAGGGATGAGAAGTTTTTATGATTTTGGGAAAGCACTGAGATCCAAAATTTAGGAACGGTGAAAATTTAGAACTTAGTGCTTTGTAGCAGAATTTAGGACTCGTAGAGGGCGGTAACGCCGGCCCTAGATAAAGCCTTAAGTATATGTGGGAGTTTATTTATTCAGGACTTGGATTAGTTTGAAGCATGTGCAAGACATAAACGTAGGTATAGAAAATAACTAAACTAATACAATTCGGGCTTAATTCGGTACGCAATAGGAGCAAGACAAAATTTAGCGAAATAACTTGGCTTTTGTCGTCAATCTTGTGATACACACCCAATAATGTATAATGGATGCTATTAATTCAGAAGTTAAACAACAATTGCTGCTATTAAAATGATTCAGTTGGATGCTATTAAGTTAGGCTAAAATTATCTTTACTGATTCCAAGGTATTTCAATTAATGTAGCAGATTGCATTGCTCCCTGATTTTCTAATTTGATCCAGCTTATTATTTTTTGCAGACTGTTATTATTATGGCAATTTTATAAAAACTAAGCTTGAACTTTCAATTATGTTGAAAAGAGTTTCCAATTCTGGAATTGCCAAAGGATCTACAAAGCGAAACTATGTTTCAATGTCCATTAAACAAGAAATGGAATTCCTGCAAAAAATGGATAAAGGCATATCCGTCTCAAAATTATGCAAGGAGTATGCCATTGGAAAGTCCACTGTATATGACACAAGAAAAAAGAAAAAAAGGAACTTTTTGAATTTTTTCTGGAAGCATCTTAAACAATTTGCATTGAAAGGAATGTTTAATAAAGTAAACAAATAAAATAAACTTTTTTTGTGTAATTTTTGATACCCTTTATAGATCAATAATTGTTCTTTATTTCATTAATTACAATTTCATATTTGGAATGTATAAGTTTCTGCATGCCATCATACCAGATTTAAATAGATGATCTATTCTCCGGAAAAATCCGGAATCGCCAAAGTCCCAACCAGTCCGGATTTCGGACTTTGTACTGTATTATTTTTAATAAATTATGTTCGTTATGCTATTTTTGAGTTTATTACTAAATAAAAGGGATTTTTTTAAGTATTCAAATCATTTAATCAAGTTAAATCAAGTTAATCAATTTAATCAAGTTCAAATCAAGTTAATTTTATTGTTTTCAGTAAAATGTACAATCAGACTTACACTATAACTTTTTGATAATACAGGAGAGAGAACCCTTTTGATGTTGCTGTTTTCCCACCTGACAGTAACTGCAAAGATCTAAAATCACTTCCACCAGGAAGGTAATTTGATTTTTTTTTCATTACAATTTATACCTATTAAGCAACATAAATAAATAATTTTAGTTTTAATCTGTACCAGTTATTTAAAAAAGTTTGTGTATTAGTTTCAGTGAGAAATAATGGTGCAATAATTTTGTGCAAATGCATTTTGTTCAATAAAATGCAGTATTCCCTTCACCTTCAATTACACATTTCCAATGAGTTACAAGCATATAAATCCCATGTTTGTAAAAGTTCTTATACCTAGAGCCCCCTCCCCCCCCAAAAAAGGATCTATGACTTGCATAAGATCATCTCAGTTTGGGAACAGTTGCTCATGCAAATATTTATCCTTGCTTCAAAACAGGTAATGTATTCAAATTAAAAACTACCAAATCAAGTGTGTTGATCATCTCCTTGGTCGCTTTCATCATATGAGATCTAGCATTGTCTTGAAGAATGATCACTCATTTTGGCTAATCTTTGGAATATGGTAACAGGTAGTTTGGCGACATTTTGGTAAGGCGATAAAGGTTACTAGCTAGGACTTTAGCAGTGTACATGGATAAAGTCAAGAGTGTGCACAATGCTATTTTTGTGCAATTCTGGGATATTTTTTTTAAGTGAAAATAGGTTGATGCGCACATGGATACGGTGTTGTATGTGCAATTCTTAAAAACGCGGCAAGCAGTGGACGATTCTGCACTTTCTCCCAATTTCGCACCTAATCTTCATCATGATTAAGCACTTTTGTTCCATAAAAGTTCTAGCATAAGCATAATTCGGCTAGCAGATTGTTGGAAAAAAATGTTGAGGGAAAAAAAAAAAATGCCTCTATTTCGTAAAAACAAAATGGCGTCAAAAAAAAAAAAAAAAAAAAAAAAAACTAGCAGGTTGCTGTAGCAGGGTTGGCCACCAAATTTTCGCCAAAAAATCGCCAAGTTACCATAATCCAAAGATTAACCCTCCTTTTCTGTTGATTACTGCTGGCTGCTTCCGAAGCAGTGCAGCAGCTACAATCCTTTACAACCTGAATGAGTGTACCTTAGGTGCATTGTAGCAATTCAAAGTGCACAATAGCAGCGCTAGTCCGCCAAACACAGAGTAGTACCTTCTGATGAATGTTTCATTTTGGGACAAATGCCATAGAACCAAGTTACGACAAATGATGTTTTCTTGACAGCAATGAAGAGCAAATGGGAGTTGCTAGAGTTTGGTTTTCTTGGTGAAAATGTGAGCTTCAATGTCTTCCAAAGGCTGTGCAGATGCAATGGCATGTTTTCATCTTAGACTTCAAATCCTTCTTTAAGTTCCTTGCATGTTTGATGTGGATTACACTCAATGCCATCCTTCAGCAGGTCTTCATTGATAGTGGGAGGACTTCCAGTTCAATGCTTTCCTGGTGGCTCTTTTCTCCCAGTGCAAATCCACTGAACCATTTTTGCCCTGCATGCTCTTTCCCTGATGCCTTTCCACACTTGTAGCATGTTTCTCTAGCAGCTTCTGCAGCACTGCTGTGCAGTTTGAACTCGTAAGGTAAACATGGCCATGCAGGGCTGAGGAGTCGGAATTGGAGTTGGGCTGATTTTGGGGTAAAAGGAGTCGGAGTTGGAGTTGCTAAAAACAAGTCGACTCCGACTCCAGTTTTTGTTGGACAGTTTAAATTTGAAATGAAATTAAAATGAATTGAAAAAAATTAATGACAAGCTGAGTTATTATTTTTATTTATAGACTATATACATTAATAAATACAGTCAAAAGTCATTAATTCGGACACCCATAATCCAGACCTCAAAGCTACAAACTTTCTGCGCATGCGTCGCGTTAACACACGCACATAGGCGTTTTGTTGCAAAATACGGGGGGAAATCCCGCTGCGCGCAATGAATTGGAAGTTGATCGGTCAGCACTAAATGTAGTATTTCATCTTGATGTACTCCGTCTTTGATATGATTTTAATCAAATTCCTCGTCATTATAATTCGCTTCCTATGCCGATAGTGAATCCGGACTCGCCAAAGTCCCGACGAGTCCGGATTAACGATTTTTGACTGTAGTTATTTTCTATTTTATTGATATATTAATAAATAAATATAAGGAAGGAGGATGGATGTGATATTTGCCATTAGTGATTAAACTGATTTATTTAGTTACAAATCTCGCTGGTAAATTTAGGTAAGCAGCAATAGCAGCAAGAACTCCCCAAACTGATTTATTTAGTTACAAATCTCGCTGGTAAATTTAGGTAAGCAGCAATAGCAGCAAGAACTCCCAAAATTGATGCCATTCTTAGAAGCAAGCAGAAAAAGGAGCAATTATTGATAAAGCAACGTGATGAGAAAGTACGTGTTTGATGATAAAGAGATTTTTAGAATTAAGAACTTTTTAAGAAGATGTAGATAACCCTAATGTTTCACTAACAGAAAGACTGATCTTGCTCAAATGATCTTGCAGAATTGGAAAGCTCTTCTTTGTACATCGTATATAGCCACAAAAAAGCTGCAATCGGAAGAATTGACAGGAGGTGAGAATGGAAGAATGGGATATTTGTTCTTTCTGAATTGGTGGAGTTTATTGCAAAGGAATCATTTCTTCAATGAAGAAAAGAGAAACAAGTTTGCTAGACATGAGATCACGCTGGGTTCAATATATATAGATCTGAAACGACACCGAATTTTGTTGGATGACAAACAACATTAAAAAGGGCAAAGAAAGTCATCTATGAACTTTCATTAAGAATAAAATTATTCTTAGAACAATTGGAAAATTCAAATCAGGACAGTCAAACTGCAGACATTGCAATTGAGTGTCTATCATCCTCTTCCAGTGATGAATTAGATTTTGAAAAATATTTTTGGGTAATATTGAAAAAGCTAAGGCAAATCTAATGAAAATAAAGGACCAAGAGCCTTTAGATATAGAAAATGAAAAAATACGAACAAGATTTCTACACTGCCTTTGAGGAAATAGAGAAATATGATTGTGCTTGCAAGACACCCCTTTTAGAACTTGGAAAACTCTATCCTGAAAAGATAAAAGAAGTAGCCCTAACAGTAACAGCTCTTTCTCCTACTCAAGTTAGTGTGGAAAGACTGTTCTCAGCTCTGAAATTTATCAAATCGGATCTATGGCCCTCCAACAAAAAAGGTCCTTCCGAAGCTATACTGTTTCTTAGAAATAACTAACGCCAGTTTTTCCATTTCATAATAAATGCTAATTAATATAAATAATTTGCTATGCCATCAATTTTTTTTTTCTGTAGCATCTATTACTTCTTTTATATTAAAAAAATAAGCTGTAATGCATGTGTTTATGTTTGCATATATGTAAGGGAGTCGGAGTTGGTCATTTTTCGTATTGACTCCACAGCCCTGCTCATGGGTAACAAACAGCCATAATGAACACTAGTATGCTTAATTTTAATTTTAAAATGTATAAAAAGTGCTCTACTATCCTATACTAATAATCTATGGTTTGAACTCCCTGTAACTCTTAATCTGTAATTCTCAGGTGACCCTAACATCAGTGGTTTCTAGTGTGTTTCTGTTTAAGTATGTGTCTGAATGTGCTGCACTGCTCTACACAATTAATATCGAAGTTGACCCGCAGTTACCATCAATATATAGCTTGCCTGTGACCGGTATGGGAACCTGTGTTTTTTGGTTTAATTTAAATTTACTTAGGTAGCTCGACTTAGACCCAGACTTAAGTAGCTCGACTGTTTGGAAACAGACTTAAAAATTTTAAAAATAACCAATTACATGTCCATGGCCAGGGATAGAAGCGCTTGGAATTCAATTCTGAGGAAGGCAAGGGCCCATCCTGGGATGTCTGGTCATTGAAGAAGAAGAAGAGGATTCCATGATATTCCAAATGTGCTCGATCAGGTTAAGATCCGGCGAGTTAGGTGGTCAGGACATAAATTGGAATTCATCCTTATGCTCCTTGAACCACTTCAACACAATTCGAATCTTGTGAAATAGGGCATTGTCCTGCTAGAATATTCCCATTCCTAATTAGGAAGACAGATACCATGTAAGAATGCAACCGATCTGCAGTTATATTCAGATAGTCTGTAGCTTTCATCGTCTGTTGTACCACAACTAAGGATCCCAGAGTCACTAATGAGAATGTTCTCCAAAGCATAATACCACCAGCAGCAGCCCTGTGTATGACTTGCTGTATGAAGGGAGAAACAACTGTTTGCTTGGAAGATGGCATACCCTGAAACGACCATCTAGATCAGGGGTTCTTAACCTTATTCCCTTTCTGGGCATATCTGACAAACAGGAAATGCTGGCGGGTGCAGTTAAACATAAAAGTTTAATTATTTTTAATATTTCTTTATTTTATTGCAATCATAAGCATCATAAACAATACCCTACATTAAAAAGGTAAAAAAAATTCAAAATAGTTGCATTTAATGCGATTTTTGGCATTGCATATAGTATACAGCAGACAGTCGCAGATGCAAAAAAATAGCTTCGTGGGCATGGGATTAAGAACACCTGATCTACATGAATGAGAAATAATGATTCATCTGACCAGGCAACTGTCTTCCACTTATCCATGGTTCTGTTATGATGTTCTGGGGCCCACTGTAGGCATAGTTGACAGTGACACTTGGTGAACAGAGACACATGAGTAGGGTGCCTGCTGTGCAGTCCCATACCAACAGTGTCTGCTGAATTTTGTGTTCTGAAACACTTGGATCTGCATTGTATTGGGCTGTTAACTCTGTTGTCCTTTTTTCTTTGATGATGGGTGGACATCTAACACCTTGGCGTATATTACTAGTTTCACGGTCATTTATCCACTTTGCATAAATACTAACAACAGCAGATTGTGAACAACCCACCATTCGTGCAGTTTCGCCGATACTCATTCCAAGTCTTTGGACCATTACTTTCTACCCTCTATCAAATTCGCTTAGATCAGCAGCCTTTCCAATCATTTGCAAAGTAAGTGCAAGAACAATTCCTTAACTTTTCCAGCAGCAGTTAAAATACCATTCCTACTTAAGCACATGCCAAGTCATCCAGATGAATTCATTGAAAAATGTGGTAATGATCACAATATTTTTGCTCGTCAGTGTACATGTTATATGTTTGGAGTATGTGATTGAAGCATATTTCTGACATGTCAGCAACAAAACATAAAAAGTTAAGGGCATTTAGGTAATATTTTGTAGTGATGTGATATATTTTTTATTTATAAGTTGATGATCAGCCGATGTTTAACCAGGTGAATATCATAACAATAACATGTGTAAAATTATTGCTACAAATTTCTAAACCAAGAAATTCTGTTGAAAAGTGAAGAAATTCAATATAAAAAGTATCGCAAATCAGTAAACTTTATTGCTGACTGCAATTTTGTTTGAATTTAATCCATCTTTATGAAAGCATTGCTAACATGTGCATTAGGAGTTATAATGCTACATATGGAATTTATTTGTAAGGATAGCATTGTAGTTCAGAACACGTTTTTCTGCTCCTCTATCAAGAATGGAGTAGAAGCTACATCATTTTCTAAATTATTGGAGAAAAGTTTCTGAGATATTGAAATTAATGGATGAATTGGTAGGAGTAATAATTTTTAACCTTCCACAATTAAAAAACTGTCATTTTTATCTGAACAGTGTTATGTTAAGGTGGATTTTCTTTCTGTTTAGCGTATGAAATATGTTTATTTATCTTAAATTTTAAAGATCTGTAGGTTTATCATATATATTTTAAACTGCATTTTCAAGAATTTTATAAGGCAATAAACTAGTCATTTCAGTGTTATAGGAACTAGCTCATTAAGAAGAGTGGCTCAGTTAAGGAAGATGTACCCAAACTTAGCATTTCAGTCAGTTGTATCCTTTGAAATTGAAAAATATGGTATTTGTTTATTAAAAGTATATTATCAGTTTCTTGAAACCTCAATAGTAATAATTCTCAAGATATTTTATAGCTGGGAGGTATATAACACTTTCTAATTATTTTTTTATATTTATCACGTAATGCTTTTGTAGTTTTCCCATTTTTCTGAATGATTTGTCCTCTTATAAATAAGTTATTAACTATCCTTAAATTGATATATTCATTTGAAAAACATTTTTAATTATTCATTATGTACTATATTTCAGTTCTGTCTCTTCTTCACATTGTAAGTTTTCATGTGTACAAAGTTGATCAGAAGTATCTGCTTGATGTTCGCGACTCAATGTGAAATAACTGATGACAAGATATTATTTGTTAATTGATTTATTGATTTGTATTGCTAAGCCATTCTTCTGTATTTAACTAGAAAGATGTGTTTAATCATTTGTGCATTATAAAAAAATTGTATTTTTTTAACATATGAGTGCATTATCTTTCACCTTAATTTTTATGTTAGAGAGGAAACCTGAATACCAGGTTACGAAAACTTGATGAAGATAAAACTTTTTCAGCTTTAATTCTAGCTGCCGCAGGTCTCATTAGGTTAGATTTGGCTAATCGTATTGATCAGGTAAATATTATTAAATAAATTTTAAGACTACAGTTATATCTTTAAAAAATATTGTGACTGACTAAATGAAGTTCTCAATTTTATGTAGTCTATATTCCCAAAATAAAAATAATAGTTTTGCTTTTAGACTTTCACTCCTGAGGAATGCATGCATGCAGTTGGGCAAGGAGCTCTAGCAATTGAATGTAGGGAAGACGATTTGGAAACAATACAGTTAATTTCCAAAATATCGGATAAAGATACAACATTATGTTGCATTGCTGAGAGATCTTTCATGAAAACATTAGAAGGTGGCTGTAGTGTTCCAGTTGCAGTGTATTCAAAAATTGAAGGGAAGAAGGTATGTTTTAGAGTGATATGTTGTAGAAATTTCTGTACATTTAATGTATGAGGCGTGATAAATAATAGCAAAGCCTTAAACAGGGGAAAACATTACAGTAAAAGACGCATTTATCATTAATTCCCTTCGAAAAATTCCATTTCTTATTTATTCAAACACAGTTATTTTGTCATTGTTACTGTTTTCTGAAGTAACTCTGGAAGTTTCCTTTCATGAATGGCTTTAATTGAAAAGTAAGTGAGGAATCTGTAATGTTTTATTTGACAAAAGCAACCTATGGCAGCTAATGTTGCCATGACAAAAGATAAAACTGCTCATTTCGGAGGCCATTTTTTTAATGTGTATGCTTCGTAAATGCTTACACCCTTAGTGTTCACCACTGTCTTCCTGGGTACAAACTTTGCTTGCATAATTCTACCAAAATAAATAAATAAATAGTAAAAAGTCACCTTAATGTTATTCAGATTGAGAGTTCAGATCCAAGTTTCATTTCCAGGAATGACATTTCTTAAAAAGCTGTAATTTGAATTGACATTTAATGTAACTGACAAATGTTTTATCTTTTGTGTAACAGTTAAAACACATGGAACATATTTCATATATTACTTAAGATATATGTTGTTAAAATATATTGAATGTTATTGTAAGATTTTCAGAACCCCAGAAAGTGTTTTAACAGCTAATAATTTATTTAATCAAATTATTTTGCATACTCTTTTATAATTCTGTGGCATTTTTTATGTTAAAGGGTATATCAATTTTTTTTTGTCTTTGTTCAGAATCATTAGAAAATCACACAAACCACTTGTTTGCTTGTGGGCTTTATAGCATCACTGTAAACTAATTTTAATATTTCACATATTTTTAGTGCTTTTTTTTATTTAAAATAAAATTTCATCTTAATGCATAGTTTTTAATACATGAGTTAAGACAATCAGCATACATCTCTTGACCATACCTGTCAACTATCAGTTGACTTTAAATAGGTTGAAACTTATCATGCACTTTTAATAAAGTTCAGCCATTTCACTAAATGGTATTCAGCATCATCATATTACACCTTAAATAATGTAATAATTTATATCTTAATGATATAGAATGTTAAACTTAATTAAACATCTGTGAATTGTGTTGTTTAATAAACTGCATTATAAGTGTGATATTTGTGTAACATAAAATAACTTTGATTTATATACAGGGTGGTCCAAAAATTAGTTAACTGTTTTATTTCATTTAGTATGTATGACAATGTGGTTAGTGCAGAGACTTAAAATTATGTATTTTTTTAAGAAATTTTATTACAAAAGTTTTTTAATTATGTTCACAAAGTTCCTGTAGCCTTAGGGTTTTTTTTTAATGCTCTTAAAGTCATTAATTTCAATCAAAATTTGCAAAAGATACAATTTGCAAAATTCTATTATTGTTTAGCGAATTGTTGGAAAAAGAAAGTTGAGAAGATTCATTTGATATTTCTCATATCACTATATACGTAGCGTATTCGGAAACTAAGTACGGTTTCATTTTAGCGCCGTCGCAACGCTGTGATAGGCGTCCCGCACATGCGCACTAGTCTTTCTTGTTCACTGACTTTCAATTGTCGCCATTTTGGTTGCTCTATGTTGTGTTTTCAGTTTGCTGTGCACATACAAAATGTTTAAGACAATTAGTTCTCCGCTGACTGTAGATTCGTGCTGTGATTAAACTTTGAATGCGAGAATTTAAACCAGCCGAAATTTATCGTCAAGTGACAGAAGTTTACGGTGAATACGCGATAAGTGATGGAATGTGAGAAAGTGGATAAAAATGTTTAATGCAGGTCGAACAAATGTCCACGCCGAGGCTCGGAGTGGTCGGCCGATGATTTGGTAAGGAAAGTTGATGAAGCAATTCATGAAAAACAGACGTTTCACAATAACAACTCTTTCAGAGGCATTTCCACAAATTTCACGTACTGTTTTGTTCAGAATTGTGTCTGACCACTTGAATTATCGCAAACTGTGTTCCCGATGGGTTCCAAAAATGCTCACTAATGTTCACAAAACAAAGCGACTTGGTAGTGCCCTGACATTTCTCATGCGGTACAGTGATGAGGGAGAAAACTTTTTAAACCAAACTGTGACAGGTGATGAAACTTGGGTGTGTCATTTCACACCAGAATCGAAACAACAATCGATGGAGTGGAGACACACTCATTCTCAGAAAAACAAAAGTGACATGTCATCACAAAAAAATCATGTGCTCTGTCTTCTGGATATAAAGGTGTTTTACTTACTGAATTTCTTCCCAGAGGGAACCATTAATGTGGCCGATATTGTGAGACTTTAACATAACTAAGCATGCCATTCAAAACAACGAAGAGATTGCTCATAAAGGACTTGTGTTGCTCTGTGACAGCGGCCCCATACTGCTGGTGTCACTTATCGTTAATTTCGACAGTTTCATTGGGAGCAATTCGATTCACCCGCCGTGCAGCCCAGACTTGGCGCCGTCCGACTATCACTTGTTCCTGCACATGAGAGCTCGAGCTTGGTGCAAGCGCTTTGGATCTGACGATGACACGAAAAAATGCTGTGGATCGTGGTTATCGAAACTGGCGGGTGATGATGGTATACAAAAACTGGTCACCCACTATGACAAGTGTTTGATCATTGGCGGAAACTATGTTGAAAAATAGTTTAAGGACATGTATTTTCATGTAAAAATAAAATTGGATTCGAAAAAATTGTTTTACTATTTTTTTTTTTTTTTTCAAAACGGTACTTAGTTTCTGAATATGCCTCGTATAATTTCACAGTCTCAGGAGATATTCACACTATTGAAACTACTAAAATGAGATTAGCAACTTTTGCATTTTCTAAATATGTGTAGTATTAAAAACAATAAAATCTTTTAATCTGAAATTCAAAAAAAGAGAAAGTAAAAAAAAAAAAAAAAAAAAAAAATTAAGTTAGAGAAAGCTTTTTTTTTTCTGAAGGAAGTAAAGGGATATTAAAGATAAAGCAGAATTGTGATAATCCACAAGCTTTGGAACCAAAAGTTATGTAGACTGCAGTTCATGTTTTTCTAAATTTTGTTTTGATTTTACATTAATTGATACAATGTTATAAATAGTATTGTTTCCATAAATTGCTTTAAATACTGTATTATTTTCAATAAATGAAAAAATATATTTAAAATAATTGTTAATTTAATCAGCGTGAAATTCTTATAATGGATAAAGAATAAATTTATTCAATAACTCTTTAAATCATCGTATGTCTACAAAAAGATGCGCTTGAATTCTGATTGGCTGATTTTTGAAAGTGCCCCAATCAAATTAAGCTGACCATAATACATCTTGTCTTGCATACTTCAGAGGTAATTTCTTGTTTAGGAAGTAATTTTGTTGAAAGGAAAGTTTGAGTGTAATTTGCTGACATCTTTTAATGTTATTGTATCTAATTCTAGCGATGGTAAAATGGTAAATCTAATTTCGGGATTTTATATGGAGAAGTTAATGCAAAGTTGTAGTAAAAGTGTCAGCTGAAAGAAAGTTATAAAGTTATTGTTCAAATAATATCCTTCAGTTTTCCATCTATTCATAATAAATTGAGAAATTCACCGAGTTTTAAAACAGCAACTGATATAGACTACCTTGTGGAAAAGATCAAGCTGAACCAGAATGATGATACATAATCTTCGAATCATTATTGTAAACAGTATAGCTGAATTTAATTTATTTCAAAATATGTTTCTCTGCTATTAATAGTATTGTAATCAATTTTCAGTTAATTCATGTGATTCTGACAGTTACTATTATTTTTATGGTCATTTACTGGGTTTAACTGGTTACAACTGGTGATTTTTTTCCACATTGGAGGAACTTTCCAGCCTTGCCTGTTGTGTTTGTGCACTTGTAATATCTCTCAGTTTATATATTATATTTACATTTAACTAGATGTTTGTATTATTTTGTCTACTACTTGTATGAATAAAGAGAGGTTATTTTCCATTGTGTTGTTTTAATGTATAAAATATTAAGACATCTATGCACTGTTTACTATAGAGCAGTCATTTTTAATATGTGTCATGTAATTTATAACAAACCCTCTGCAAAATATCAGCACAAAATCAGAGGACAAAAAGGTTAAATCACAAAAAGTTGATATACACAATAAACAGGAATGAAACTCTTTACAAGAAATCCTTCAATTCTGTGTAAACTGTGGCCTATTATAGGATCAAATTGATATTGCTGTTTAGCTGTTAGATGAGTCTTAGAATATTTTCAAGTAAATATATTTCTCTTTATTTTCTGCTGTACTAAAATGCTGTCAATATTTGTAATTTTACACCCTGCAATTTGAAGATGGTATTTATTTCCTTTCAGTTTTTAAAGTCCCCTCTGTGTATGTAACCATGCAACAAAATTTTTTTCATTTGAACAGCATAGCTGCCATTTCTCTCGATTCTACCTAGAGACTTCCAGGTTTTCATCACATCTCCCAGTCTCCCGATAGATTACTGAATCTCCTGATTTTTAATTTTTAGCCTTTACTAATGGAAAAATGCTCCCCTATTGAAACTTAAATTAAGCTAGGAGGAAACTTTCCAGTTCTAATTCTGTTCTCCCACTTCTAATGATTTTCAGCATAATTTTTCTTATTAAATTTTATTTTATCTGGATTGTATTTTTTACTAAATTTTTTTTGTTAAATTTCATTTGATCTGAGTTGCCTTAATATACTCGAGACATTAGTAGCTTTTTATATGAAGATTCAAGCAGTGTTGAATCAATTAATATTTGTATTTAATTTTGTTTACTTTAATATATGATACATTACCATGTTTATCCACATAAATACTATGTACATATTATTAATATTTTCATTGTATTTAAAAGTACATTGATAATAAAAGCTTTTCTTCACTACTCCGGATTTGCTCGGTATAAAATTGTAAAGTAATTAAATTATCCAAAGAGGATAAGTTTAGAATATCCGATTAAATGTGAATATATTTTATATCAAAACTGCCTTACAAATAGTTCAGTAATGTGAACCATGCTTTATAAAGTGAATTGAAGTCAGTTTGGAGTGCATTTGAAATGGTCTCTCCACATACCATGAAAACCTTCTGGTTTTCTCACAAAAATCTCCCAGTTTTTAAGATTACAAGGCTGGCAGCTTCGAAATAGAATTGCAAGGTTACTCCCATTTTTTCAAAACTTTTATTTTAAGGTTTAACACCAAAGCCCTAACTTCAAAACAAATTTAACTTTTATTATGCAATTTTATTTACAACAAATTAAAAAAATAAAAACTTGCAGTTTTATTTATAACACAGCAATGTAATACCATCATGCACACAGTAAATTCTAACTTATACAATAATAAAGCTATACATTTGGACCAAAACCTGCTATTTCGGCTTTCACTTAATTTAATGTTGTTGATGATTCAAGATGTATTAGTGATCAGTGTTTCCTCATTGATTCCCACAACACATTTCTTAGTTAAAGATCAGAAACAAGAGGTTTTGCCATCCGCTGAATAAACTATTTAAACTGATGGAGTCTTCCTATGGCTTAGAAAAGTGTTGAGGTAGCTTGAGGAATGAATAATTAGGTAGCCATGAGATTATCTGTAATTGCTTAAAAATGCATGTTTAAATGTATATTTCTTAAATAAATGCATATAAGTTATTATAACGACTGCATCATTAATATCTGTTTTAAAGTTATCTGAAAATTTTTAATTTTATATATCCTGTTGATTTAAACATTTACAAATTGTGCATGTTTTTTCAGTTGACTTTACAAGGAGGCGTGTTTAGCCTCGATGGTTGTAAAAGTATAATAGAAAAAATATCCACTGAGATTGAACATGCAGATAAATGTGTTCCAAAACAGGTAAAAATGTTAATTTTTTTTCACATGTGCATATTCAGATACTGTTTCTTAAAAGTAATTGATATTTTCTTTTAAAGCATTATGCTGGGGTTATTGCTCCTCGTCTACCCCAATATTGCCTATGTAATGCAGAACATTTAGGTATGGAACTTGCTGAGCTGTTATTATCAAAAGGAGCTGCGGATATTTTAAAAGAAGCTAGAGCAAAAAATGACAGTTCTTAATATTGCCAGCATTTAAAAATGTACTTATGTTGAGAATTGTAAATTGTTTTATTTATTGTTAGATTTATTTTTATATATGTATGTTTTAAATAAATTTTATGATCTCAAATTTGTATTCATAACTGAAGTAATCAATAACATTGTTACATTTTACTTAATTTTATTCTAATGAGATATACAATGATAAAAAATCATTATTGTGCGTTATCCCAAATGATACATAAAAATCAAATATTGTTCGTGATTTTGTTTGCACTTCATCATAAATACTACTTGATTGATTAATTGATTTAAGTTTTGCTAGAAGATGATGAAGGGACGGGATTGAGCTAAAGATCATCAAGCATCTCAAATTGCTGTCATGTTTCTAATAAAAACATGAAAAACTGAACAGACAAAATTACTTCATCAATGAATTTTTAGACAAGGAAATACCACATCTATTTTTCATTTATTGTAGCTTAAGGCTTGAAGAAGAAGAAAAAAAAAAAAAAAAAAGCTGCAGCATGGTTCGGTGTTTTTATAATGGAACAGTTATAAGAAATAGAAAACCTAGGCTGTTTATTTGAAACTGTTAAAGTTGTGTTTGCAAACATAGCAGCTTTCAAAGTAGACTAAACTGCCTTGCTATCTCACTATATTTTCATTTACAAAAAGTTATAAACTCAAAAGGTGGATACATGGATTACTTATCATATAACACAATTGTCCATTTTTAATTGATAATTTTCTGATTTCGTGAAATATATATAAGAAAAATGAGAGTTTATAAGGACTGTGTGCAAATTAAGTTTTCATAATTTTGAATTTTCCTAAAAGTCTATGCAGCTCTCATATGTCTGTATGCACAGTTTGAATGTTTCTTTATGAAAACGGAATTATTTATTCAATATTTCTTACATAACCCTCCTTTAAATTTTCAAAACACTAAATACTGGTGTAGTGGTAATAGCATTAATAGTCAAGCTATGGAATGGTTTTGTGAGATACTTATTCAGCATATCATTTAAAACATGAAATGAATTCTGCATGCATCCCTTTGGACCCTTTCATATGACTCACTTGAAACAAACAGTAGTCATTTTTTAAATATAATTGCATTTTGGAACAGAAATCATTTAATGGCACACTTCATTATTAATCAGTAATTCAATTTCTTAAATTATATTCTGTGTGTAGTAATTGAATCCATTTCAAGCTATCCACCATCTGTTAAGCAATAAAGTAAAACAAAAAATAACAAATTACTAGAATGAAAATGTTAGATCAAGGAATGGCAACTGGAGCGTTACAAATTGCAAGTACAAAAATCATTTAGAAAAAAATGCAGTACATTTTGTTTTCCTCTTAAGTTTGATATATTTTAGCTTGTTTTTCATTACGATCTTTCAGTGTAGAGCATTTGCATCTCAATATCCACAATCCAGTATCTTGGAAAAGTGCATTCCATGTAGGAAACTTTTTATTCTTTTATCAGATGGTTTAGTTAACCAATAAAAAAAATGACCTTGGATGGAGCTTTTTTAATTTAGAAAAGAGTTGCATATCTAATAAATGTTTAGATTTTAAAGTGAGTGAAGTAAAACTTCTCACTCATACTTTCTCAGCAGGTGCATCACAATCATCTGAAATAGAGATGAGTATTTGAATTTCAAATGAATTGTTCATCCTTAAGCAAATTGGGTTGTTTTAAGCACTTTTTTTAGTGCAGTCATATGTAATATTCTGAAGTAATGATTTTCTGCATACAATTCTATATTTCATGATGATTCCTTGGTACTTATTTGCTTTTATTATACCTCTGTTGAGAAAAAACGAAATTACTTTCTGAACAACCCGATAGGTCAAAGTCTTTTCTCATCTTCGCCTTCATTAGCAATGTTACATCAAGCAGTGAGGGATTCATGGGGCACAACCTTTTTTTTCCCTTTCAAATCATCTTTTAAAATATGTTATACTGATGTTTGTGAAGTTGCTGTAGCTTTTGATATTTCTTCACATGTTGCTTATTTATTTTTTCTGTCTTACAGTTCTTTTGTTTGCTGATACTTCTGGTCTTTTGACCTGCAATCTTTTTGTACACTTGACACATCTTTCAAGAAAATTCCATGAATTCAGTAATTAATTAATTTGATAATATTGGAAACTCAACGGAGTAGTAATTCTTTATATCCCCCTTCTTAAAGGATGAATGAGTGGGGGCATGATACCCAGGTGATGTGATACCATGTGATAAATTATTGCCCTCAACTTTTTTAGTTTAAACATTTTTGTAGAAATCATGAGATTTTTTGAGCAGGAAACAGGAAAAATTAACTGTGTTTCAGCTGAGATTTTGAACATGAGTTCTCCTAGCTAAGAGCTGGTCCATCTACAACAATTTTGATACAAGTAATCATTTATGATATAAGAAACAGTCAGAAGAGTACATTGATTCATTATAACTTTATATTAAATCAGGCATTTACGATATGAGAGCACATACAAGAGAATACAATGATTCTTTACAACCGTATTTTAAAATAATCTCCTTTCTCGAATAACAACTTTTCTGCAGCATACACGGCTCCATTTAATTTTACTATTTACAAAGGAGTGCATGTCAATTAAAGAAAATTTTCTCACTCAACTCTGTTTGAAACACATTTTGCTTTCCAAAATAAATATTACAAGCAAACTGAGGGATTAGCCATGGGAAGCCCCTTCAGTCCCATCCTGGCTGATATCTACATGCATTATTATGAATCAAAATTGTTTGAAACTTTAAACTTCCCGGCATGGTTCCGCTACGTATATCTTTCAACAATGAATTCTATTGATCCTGCTATTCAGTTCACTTTTGAACTTGAGACTTGCAATTCTCTTCCGTTTCTCGACATTCTGGTCACACGTAACACATCCAACTTCAGTACTACGGTTTACCGTAAACCTTCATCGGTTTGCCTTCCACCACACTTTAAATCATGTCATTCGACTAAACAAAAGTCAGCTTCATTTTATTCCTATGTTTTCCGTGCTCTTCAAGTTTGCTCCTCCAAACTAGCCCTGATGAAAGAACTAAATTATTTAAAAGCAAGCTATTGACAGGGGCTTTTCACCCAACATTATTAATCAAGCAGTTAAAAAATTCTCATCTCAACACACTAAAAGGCCATACTCTTGTTTTAGAAGATTATAAAAATTCTGTTGTCATTTCCTTCTTTCCATCAATTAGCTATAAAATTGCACATATTTTGCAGAAATTAACTTCGGGTTGTTTATTCTCCCATCAATAAATTCCGAGTTCCATACTCAAGACCCCATTCGGATAAGAATTCTTGGGGTATTTATAGGATTCCTTGCCAGTGTGGTTTGATTTACATTGGCCAAACTACGAGAGCCTTAAATTTCGCGTCAAGGAACATGAGGCATATGCTAGAAAAAAGCAAACACAGAAGCTCTGTTGCTCAACATTGTTGGTCCGAAAATCACACTTTCAATTTTTTCAGCTGCCAAAATTATTCAAAAAAACATCTTCCATTGGAGAACTGGATTTTCTAGAGGCAATTCACATTCATAAAAATCTTTCTGTTCTAGTTAACGATCCTAATCCATCCAACTTTGCCTTCGGCCTTTAAAGAAATTATGTTTTAGTTTGGTTTCACCAACAGAGGGCGCCACTTGCTTATTCTTGTCCAGGCGTTCTTATCTTATCTAATCATTATTTCCTATCTTGTTCATTTGCAGTTTTGCAGCTGAGTATGGTGGTTCGGTAAAACCATCGAAACTATTCCTGTGAAAATTTTGTAAATTAACGCTGATTTTTGTTGTTTGACTTTTGAATTAGTAAAGAAAATCATTAAATCTATTTTAGGAACTAATACTTTGTTTTTCATTCAAATTAAAAGCTTTTTTTACATTATTGTACTAAAATCATGCTGTCTTCTTTTAATTTTAGTTTTCTTTTGCTAAAAACCAGTCAATAATTATGAAGGAGAGGGAAAACTAGAAAATGCTTTCATCTGAAGATGAATCTTCTGTTTTGTAATATTTTAGCTTCAGATCTTTATAACATAAAAATATACTTTCCTGAATATAGAGCAAGAGAAATGAGAATTATTTATTTATATTTATATGCAGTTATATTACCTACATAACAAAATTCAGCTTACAGGAAAAGGAGATAATGTTTATGATCCAAAAATTCGATGACGAGTTTTCAGTGAATAAGCATGAATTAGAGTCCTTACGAGTTTTTCCTGTTTTTACAATGCCTGTGTCTGTATGTGTGTAACAATTTTTTTGTCCATGATAACTCTCATATGAAACTTTCAAAGTTTCTATTTTCCATATTTAAGCATTCATATAAATAGTTTATTAAATTTTGGAAAAAACAATTTCCACAACAAAAAGCGGTACTTTTTATGAAGCCGATAACTGTTTTAAATGGACATCTGGGAGTGGTATTTTATTTGAAACCTGTAACAGTTTTTAATGAAAAGCTATATTAAAATGCAGTCCAAAACTTTTCAGGTTTTAAGTTTATATCCATGGCAACTGCATATTAGATTTTGGGTAAAATTGATATACTGGAAGTGATACTTTACTTTAAGCTCTGAACAGATTTTTATTTTTAAAAAAAGTATAATCCAGAACCTCTCAAATTTGGTATTTAAAAAAGGTATATGATTGAGTATATTACATTTATAAGCATTAATGGATTCTTGGGATTATGCTAAAAGCAACAGTAATAATTTTGTTATTAAGACGAGCTCTCGTTATGAAGCAATTAAATATATTAGCCTCAATCCTCAATTTTGTATTCATTTCACTTTTGTGTTGAATCACTTTTCAAATATAAAGATGTTGCACCCAAATGTTACCGCTTTTTATTATTTTTAAAGAAATACTATAGCAAATATGAATATCACAGTGAATAAAAATATATGACAATATTTAAATGATATATATACAAGATTGTTACTTTGGATGTAATATATGTGTCTAATATATGTAGCTTCTATTGTGATGAAGTTTGGCTAAGCTTCAACAAGGAAATATATATTTATATATGTAAAATTGCTTAGAAGTTAAACATTGTGTATATTAGGAAAAAGCTGTAATTGGACC